AGCACAATACAAGCAATACTGAATTACAGACAAAGTAGTAGGAAATTAACAATTGTTGTACTACGTATGTATATCTTCAAAGTCGTTTCTTGAGAAAACAGAGACAGGCAGTATTGATCAATCAAGGACTCATTAACTGTTTCTTTCCGTAAAGCAATAGAAGTCAGTAGTACATCTATGTTAGCTATCCTGTATATACAAGCATGCATAATATCCCCTTCTTCCTTTTCTCTTTTCCCTCACCCCAGTTGCCCTTTATTTTTCAGCATTTTCCTTTCGTTTCATAATGTCTGTCATACCTCCTAATTTTTATTCACTCTTTCAGGTCCCTACACTGGTGAGACAATACAATGCTTACACATGAAGGTCTGGTTTATTTCACTTATGAATATGGTCTCTAGTTGTGACCACTTACCTGTAAAAGCCACGAGTTTATTCTTTTTATAGCTGAGTAATATTCCATTATATAAAAGGACCACAATTTTTTTTTATCCAGTCCTCAGTGGATGGACATTTGGGTTGCTTCTAAGATTTAGCAATTTCAAATTGCCTTGCTATGAACATGGGCGTACATATATTGCTGTCATATGATGTTTTCAGATCTTCTGGGAAAATAACCAGATGGGGAATACCAGGGTTGAATGGGATCACTAGCCCTAGTTTGCTGAGGAATCTCCAAACTGATTTCCACAGTGGTTTCACCAGTCTGTGTTCCCACCAGCAGTGGAGAAGAGTTCTCATTTCTCCACAACCTCGCCAGCATTTGCTGTTGGTTGATTTCATAATGCTAGCCATTCTTACTGGGGTAAGGTGGAATCTCAATGTTGTTTTAATTTACATTTCTCAAAGGACTAATGATGTTGAACATTTTCTCATGTATTTATTTGCCATTTGTATTTCTTTATCTGAGAAGTGTGTATTCATCTCAGCTGCCTGTTTTGGGATTGGGTCTTTGAATTTGGGGGGGGGCTGATGTTTTTTCATTCTTTATATGTTATAGATAGAAGACCTTTGTCCAAGGGACAGTCAGCTAAAATTTTTTCCCAATTTGTGGGTTTTCTTTTTACTCTACTTGTGATTTCTTTAAATGTGCAGAAACTTTCCAGCAGGATGAGATCCCAGTTGATAATTCTTTGAGGTATTTCCCTTGGGGTTTGGTTTTTGTTCTTTAACTGTTTGCTTACCCTTATGTCCAAGATTTTTAACTACTTTCCCTTCCAATAGATTTAGTGTTTCTGTTTTAATATTGATATCTGTGATCTATTTTGACTTGAGTTTGATGCGTGGTAATAGACTTGGATCTATTCTCAGTCTCTGGCAGGTGGCAACCGAATTTCTCCAAAGGCATTTATTAAAGAGACTATCATTCTTCCAGTGAGTTTGTTTGGCTCCTTTGTCAAAGATTAGGTGACTGAGTGTGTTTGTGGTTGT